GGGGGGGTTAAAGCTGGGGTAAGTGCGGGGGTAAGGTGAAAAAGGGTAATAGACTATAAGATGGTCGAGGGGTACGATGAGTCGTGGTGGTGTCAGAAATGTTATCTCCCTGTCTTTGCGCTTATCTCACCTCACTGACTATTCCAGAGAGCAGAGAGGCACTCCCTATTCAACACGGTCAAATCTACAAGGCCTGTGACGCATTCCACTGCAAAAAATAAATAAATGAAAGAGCAAAGAAGAGAGGGAAATGTTAATTCTACTGGACAGACAGTTACGGGCGTACTCGTGTATTCCTCCTTACAATGGTACCATTATTCCGCCCCTCCGTCTGTCTGTCTGTCTGTCTTTCTCTCTCTCTCTCTCTCTCTCTGACCCGGGACGCCTCCTCGAACACATTTCTCTCCCACGAGCCCGTCCCATAACCAGCCCAATGGGCCGTCCAGAATGTGGCTACCCTCCGCCGCCGCCGCTGCCTTCGCAGTCCCCCCTAGTGGTGGTCGCGGCTGCGGGGAGAGATATGCTCATTCCTGATTGGCTAGGATTTTTTCCCCTCTCGCACTCTCTCTCTCTCTCTCTCTCTCTCTCTCTCTCTCTCTCTCTCTCTCTCTCTCTCTCTTGCTTTACGCAGCAGTGACTCTCTCTCGCCGTCATTTATTGGTTGATATGGGAGCGAATTTATTGCTGAATAATAATCGCGGAACCATTACGTCCACCGATAATGGCGCACACACACACACAGTAAAATAAAATACACATTGAAAAAAAAAAGTAGCACTACTAATAAAAAAAGTTATAGACGAACGCGGCTGAGCATTAGCCACACTGCAATCACCATTTGCGTGAAAGTGCCTCTGCAAACTATTCCGCTGCTTCCCCACGCGATTGGCTTTCGGTTATTCACGAGACACGAGAGTTACTTTCGGTGCGAGTGAAATTAACAAAACCATTGGCTGTTGGTTGGGTAGTTGGTAGGAGGATGGGAAAATAATGTTCTCTTCTGTCTAAGGTTCACCCCCCTGAGCCATACTCGATCAGCAAAACCACCCGCTGTCTCGCTGCCTCCCCACAATAAGAAAAAAAGGGAGAAAAAGAAACGGAAAGAGGAAAAGAAGAGGGAGAGAGCGATGGACTAAACGACGAGACACCCCCCCCCCCCCACACACACACACTTCCGTTATGTTGGCACCTCCACCCATTTATGACTCAGTGTCACAGTTCTGCCAACTGCTTCGAATTGGAAATCGTTTAATATGGGGGGATGTGACAGCGGGAGGCTGGGGACTAGAGGGGCGAATGCCAGGGGAGGAGAGGGGGTGGGCAGAGAGGTGAGTTCTGGGAGGGCACATGGGACGTCACAGAGACTGTTAAAAGTTTTCAGGTGCCTGCGAGTTTGCGACGACAGCCGAGTTTAGGTTCGCTAGTTTTGTTTGGTTTCTTCAAAGTTAGGCGTTTGCATCACACAGTCAGAGTATCACTTTGAAAAAAAAATCAAAACCTCTTAGAGCCGCTGGGAAAATGGAAATACTCC